ATACAAACAAATAAATAACAGACAGAAAAATCAAATATATTCAAAAACAAAACAGAAGAAAAAAAACTAAACAATAAAAAGGTTACATAGTTATGTTGTTAGCTGTCATATCTTCAACAAAAGATAAAAATGGTTGCCAAGTGATATAGAATTTCAAAGACTTGGTTAATGCAGGTTTGTTCCATTACTCACAACAACAACAACAACAACAACAACAACAACAACAACAACAACATCTCGTCTACCCTCAACGTTCTTATTGTCTTTTTATTTTTTTTTTTTAGAGGAGCAGAGAGTGCAGAGTTCTTGCTCCCTTGTGGCCGTTTGGGAAAGCACAACGCCTGGACTCGGTCTCTAATATGAACTCCAGTAGAGTGACTGGGTCCTGGTCTACGGCTCCAGCAAACTGTCCGTGCTCCGCAGAGGACAAACACAAGAGTGGACCTTCAACTCGTCTCAGCTCCACTGGTGAATAAAGTCAACCACAGTGCACTCAGAGGTCATCTGAGGTCATCTAACATTAACATCACAGGTCGAGTTTGGGATGCTTCACGTGATTTCTCTCTGCCTTGTTACAGCCAACCAGTCCCAGGACACTTCAACGATGACAGAGTGCTGATCTTTTCATCCAGCATGCAGCAAACGGCACCATGCAGTAAACAAACGAGTATGACGAGGCTTAACAAAGAACACAACAAAACAAGAGAAATCATGTAAGAGAAGGAGGATGAGGGGGCAATGTAGAAGAGGTGAGTCTGTAGGGAGTTTGAGGTGGAGAGTGAGGGGGGGGGGGGGGGGGGGGTCTCTGCTGGCTTTTGGGACTGAGTTTAAGAGGTTTGGAGCAGCAATGGAGAAGGCCTGGTCCCCCCAGAACCAGTGGTGAGACCTGCAGAGGGGGGACAGGAGGTTTACGTCAGCAGACCTGAGAGTGTGGCTGGAGGAGCTCAGACAACTCAGAGAGTTTGAAGTGGAGGGGGAGGGGGAGCCAGTGGAGGTTATGAAGGACGGGGGGGATGTGGGAGTGGTAGAAAGCGAGCAGCAGGATTGTGGAAATGTTTTTTGTAGTTGACCTTCAGGGCCACCGTACTGTTCTTCTTCCCACTCTCAGGCGCAGGTCGTCGACGGAGCAAAAGGGAAACTCCTCTGGTCGGCTGAGTTTGTGTGTCCCGGTCTGATGTTAGAATCTTCAGCCATCTTGACCTCAACTGGCCAATCGGCTTTCCTCTTCTGGGCCAGCGATCCAATCAGAACACAGAAGAACGTCACAAAGACGACTGTGAGTCTGACGCAGAGGAACCTGTTTGTTTTATTTCCTGTTTGGATACTGTAGTAATTCAAACCTGTTATGACTCGCTCCAGGTGTCACCAGGTGTCGCCGCAGCTCAGCCGCTCATCAGAAAACTTTTCCTGCTTCACCCTGCGTATCCCAGAATCCTCCTGGAGCTCCACAGCACCACGGACACGGCGGTCACCTCTGCAGGTACGAAGTATGGACGGAATAGATCGACCCGGACAGGAAGTCAGACAAGAAGATGCACATAGAGTTTTCAAAATAAAACACAACATACAGACTTTATCAACATGACGTCAAAACAGGATGAACACCAAATCATCCTCAGAACAACAACATGTTGTTTTACCTTTTCTTCTTCTCCGACAGTGAGTTACCACGGAAACCAGAAAGACGCTTTCTACATCACCGTGTCGTCTCGGCCCACGCCCGGCTCGGAGCCCGGCGCTCAGATCGTCAAGAGCTTGGGCCTCAGAGCCGCCGTCGCCAAAGGACAAATCGTCAGGTTAGGAGAGAGCGGCAAGCCGGGAGACGCCGTCAAACCCGGAGCGTACGAGGTCAACAAGTTCTTCAGGCGTCTGACCTTCAGACAGCAGGTGAGAGACGCTCGAGTGTGACATACAGGTGAGAGACACATTGATGTTGTGTTGATAATAAATCTCTGTGTTGCTTCGTTCAGTTATGAGCCAGCACTGCCACCACGGTACAACTGGAAGGACCCGAGTGGGATAGAAACGGACTGAAGTGGGAGATTTCTCTGCACTAAGGACACTCAGGGTCGGATTCACTAAGACTGGATGTCGGCCGCTCTTATCTTTATTATTTGTTCATCATGTTCTCCCTCTATCGGCTCCGTCTCAAGGTCCGACTCACTAAGCATAGACCTCTGATGATATTCAAAAAGTGTTGCTTTTGTTTAGTCTGAATGTGAAGAGAAACTATCTGCACCTTTCCTTTGATGGAGCTGCTCTCTGATGGAGCTGCTCTCTGATGGAGCTGCTCTCTGATGGAGCTGCTCTCTGATAGAGCTGCTCTCTGATGGAGCTGCTCTCTGATGGAGCTGCTCTCTGATAGAGCTGCTCTCTGATAGAGCTGCTCTCTGATGGAGCTGCTCTCTCTCTCTGATGGAGCTGCTCTCTCACTCTGATGGAGCTGCTCTCTCACTCTGATGGAGCTGCTCTCTCTCTGATGGAGCTGCTCTCTCACTCTGATGGAGCTGCTCTCTCACTCTGATGGAGCTGCTCTCTGATGGAGCTGCTCTCTGATGGAGCTGCTCTCTCTCTCTGATGGAGCTGCTCTCTGATGGAGCTGCTCTCTGATGGAGCTGCTCTCTCACTCTGATGGAGCTGCTCTCTGATGGAGCTGCTCTCTGATGGAGCTGCTCTCTCACTCTGATGGAGCTGCTCTCTGATGGAGCTGCTCTCTGATGGAGCTGCTCTCTCTCTCTGATGGAGCTGGGCGATACAGAGGTGGAATTGTTTTCCTGATCTCTTTCACACGTCTCATCTCTCGCGGTGCAGTTACCGCCGACTCTCAGCAGATGTTAATTTTTTCACTTTGTCAGCTAGATGCTTTATACAATGATACTGATTTATGTAGAACAATTTCCCCCCAAATGACTTCGTAATAGATCATTTAAAAAAGACACTAACGCACAGAGATGCCGTTTGCTCTGCAGCGCAGTCAGGGGAGTGTTTCCCCCTCTGCGTGTGTTTTGTGAATTAGACGATCATGTTTGACCTTCAGTGAATCAGGTCCTGAGAATTCAGCTGGAAACATCGTGTTCGTTTCGCTGAGTCTGATTTTTATTCTGTTACTTGAAAGGTTTATTTCTTTAAAAAAGGGTTATAGATTATTTGTTTTGTTTTGCTTCATGTTCTGTTTTTACAGTAAATGATTTAAATTATTAACATTTCATTGAATGTTTTGGTTTGTTTGGACTTGACAACAGAAGAGGTACTTTATTCTGACGTGAAGCACAATAACACTGACGACCGAGCGTGTAAATATGTTTATATTAACCCATCTCACACTTCTATAACTCCTCTATGGTCATGTGATGTCACTCATTAAACCATCACTGTCTCTGCTCGTCACTGCGCTTCAGAGGGAGTCTGTAAATATTTAAAGCTGTACAGTATTTATTGATCTGCCTTCTTGCTTTATGTTATGTATGTATATATATATATCGTCAACCACAGTTTTTTCTATGTGGACGCTAAAGGTTATGACATTGAAATGTAAACTGCAACACAACTAAAAATATGAAAATCAATATCTACTGTGTCGTGTGTTTATTTCAACATTTATTTCACAGTTTTGTTTTTTGGCTGCAAAATGAAAAATAAGAAAATACTGCATCCTGAACTTAAAGGAGACCTAGTGTTTAAAATGGGTACTGCAGTCTAAATTCTAAACCTCATATAGAGCTGTCTCCCCCCCCCCTCTCTAGAGTGGATGCTCACTCAGGTCACCATGTGGTGGACTCTGAAGCTTCAGTGTTTATCCAGCTCTGCATGGTCTGTAAACCTTCTGTGTTCTAACCTCTCTCCATTTTCAAAAGCATCTCCAATATTGATCCTAGTTTGAGCACGTTTCTGCTCGTGGAGCTTATTAGAAACATGCAGAGGCTTTTTAGGTCGGGTACAATCACTTCTATCTGAACCACTTCTCTTGACCGCTTCCATCGCTGCAACACCTGTTGACCTGATAACTGCTCTCATATCTGACAAACCAAGGGGAGTCCAAAACGGCCGTGTGGGGGGGGTCTTAAAGCGCCTACCTTCTCTGGTCCAAACAAATCCAGAGCATTCAGGAGCAGAATCTAAAGTTAGAAGGAGGACATACTGGCTGCTGCATTGTTGTCAGAGAAGCCAGCACTTCAACATAGCATGTTTCCTTAATGATCAGAGAGTAAGATACCTTTATCATCTCACTCTCTACACAGCTCACTGATTGGACATTTAAATGTCATTATTAATAATTAAATATAAAGTCAGGGATAGAGTAAGAAATATGAGAAAATGTGCGATAAAAAATAAAATCAGTTATGAAGTATTTCATCATGGGTACATATTCATATTTATGAGATGAAAGACTTCGTATTGGTGGTTTTTAAAAACGTTGTGCAGAAATATTGTTTCTAAAATAAATAAACTGTATTATAAACATGTTACCGGGTCGCCAGGTGGCGCTGTTGCAGCTCTTCTTCTGTTTTTCCGCATTGCTGCAGAAGACGGTGAACATGGCGTCGGCCCTCGGTCGTCTGGCCCGGCTGTCCGCCCTCAAACACGGCCGATTCCCCCGGCTGAGCCCCTCTACCGGGCCGGGGAGGACCGTGACACCGGGCCGGACAGCCGTTACCTCCCCCACCGGAAGTATTCTACCCAAACCCAAGACGGTGAGTGTCGGTCTGAAGGCTCGGTCATCTCAGGTCGGTGACGTAGTAAGACCCTCTGACAGACTCTGTGTGTGTGTGTGTGTGTGTGTGTGTGTGTGTGTGTGTGTGTGTGTGTGTGAGACACCGGGAGCAGACCCCGTTCGGTCTGATCCGGATCGCTCTGGTCGTGGTTCCCTTCCTGTACGTGGGGACTCGGATCAGTAAGAACTTCGCGGCGCTGCTGGAGGAGCACGACATCTTCGTCCCCGATGATGATGATGATGATGACTGAGGGGTCCGAGGACTTCCGGGTTTTCAGGTATCAACACAGGGGGACAGTAACAGGCGGGGCGGCTCCAGGATTGATCAGGGCCCCATGAACAGATCTCACATTGGGTCAACAGGTAAACTCCTTCACACGGTCTAGACTGAACAAAATATCAGCTCTGCTGACGCTGTGCCATGGAGACCGTGTGCCATGGAGACCGTGTGCCATGGAGACCGTGTGCCATGGAGACCGTGTGCCATGGAGACCGTGTGCAGGACTTACCCTCCCTACATCCTGTCCTCCACATTCTGAACTCAACGACTCAATGTTAGGGTTTATACGTTCAACATTTGTAATGTTGGGGTTTATGTATGCAATTAGGAAGGCCAACAAATAAATCCCAACGTTGCTCATGTCTACTTTAAATCCAGACGTTACCCGTGTCCATCACTACTTTAAATCCAGACGTTACCCGTGTCCATCACTACTTTAAATCCAGACGTTACCCGTGTCCATCACTACTCATGTTTTATGAATTGATGTAGATTTTGGTGTTTTGGTTTCTACTGATCGTTGTTTTAAAACATGATCTCTCTCTCTCTCTCTCTGTCTCTCTCTCTCTCTCTCTCTGTCTCTCTCTCTCTCTCTCTCTCTCTCTCTCTCTCTCTCTCTCTCTCGTCTCTCTCTGTCTCTCTCTCTCTGTCTCTCTCTCTCTCTGTCTCTCTCTCTCTCTCTCTCTCTCTCTGTCTCTCTCTCTCTCTCTCTCTCTCTCTCTCTCTCTCTCTCTCTCTGTCTCTGTCTCTCTCTCTGTCTCTCTCTCCTCTCTCTCTCTCTCTCTCTCTCTCTCTCTCTCTCTCTCTCTCTCTCTCTCTCTCTCTCTCTCTGTCTCTCTCTCTGTCTCTCTCTCTCTCTCAGGTCGTCGAGTGCGGGCTGCACGGTGCCGCTCGTATCGTTCTGCATGCACTGAAGAAATCTTAATAAAGGGATGAAGGTTTAAATGTCAGCACGGCTCACTGTGAAGTTATTGACACTGATATCCAGATGTTGTTATAGCTGCAGAAATCACAACACCTTGAAAACAAAACATTTACAGGAAGTGTGAGCGTAACCACGGGAACGAGTTCCTTTAGGTCAACAGAACCTCGGAGGTTTTCTGTTTTCCTCTCATAATGAGGAAATGTTCTCTACTTGTTTCTCCCCTCGCTCGCTGGAGGACGCCATCAGGACACGCTGGATCACCGCTACAATGACCTTCTTCCTCCTGGAGGACGTTTCAGGGCCCTTAAGATTTACAAATTAGAGACGTGGTTGATCCCCTGTGAACAGTCTGAAGTGTGTTTTTAATGAAATCTATATATGTGCACACTTCTACACACGCCGTCTGCAGGTGAAAGGTGAACTCTCTGTATTGTCCGTACTGTTCCTTTAAAACGACCACAGATTAAAAACACACCAACAGACGACACAGCCACAGTGTGTGTGCATTAAGTGTGTATTTACAATAGAGGAGATTTGTCACACAGGACAGACAGGGACACAGTTCAGGGGTCGTGGCCCCGGTAGAATTTGGACAGGAAGTCGGCGGGACGAGCTTCTTCGGTCTCGTGGAAATAACGCATCACGTGAGTCTTCTGCTTCCACACGTGGATGGTTTCCTGGAGCTCCAGCTTCCCCTGAAGATTTAAAAAAAAGGATCATGAAACCTCCCACTTCATCGACTTCATCCACAAACAGGCGGCTGGCTGCAGAGCGGTTCAAATGATGGTTTTTACCTTGATGACCAACATGTCGATCACTCGGGGATCCGTGACGTGCTTGTTTTTATCGAACATCTCCCTCACTTTGTCTCGCCCCTGACGCGACGTGATGTCCAGCTGAAACAGCGCCACTGTGGAGAAACAATCCAATCCAACTTTATTTGTTAAGCACAGCTGACCAAAGAGCTCATGAGATAAAAGAAAACTCCATGTGAGATACAGAATCAAGTTAAAGACATAAACATCAGTCAAATGAGTCGACGTCTTAGTGTGTCTCAAACACACAAATAACAGTTTCCAACCAATCAGCTTCACTGACAAACTTTTTTAAAAACATTACATCCCAACTCTGTCACCTGAGTTAGGGTTCAGTAAACATCCTGTGAGTACCGTCCTGCTTCAATGCTCCTATATGGTGTCTGGGTCAAGATCAGGCTTTACTGGACCAAAGTCAGGCCTCTAGTGGTTAAAATGGGTACTGCAGTTTAAATTCTAAACATCATAGAGAGCTGCCCCCCCCCAACACTGATCCTCCATCTTACTGACTGATCCTTTATCCATAAGCCGAACATGTGTGTGTGTGTGTGTGTGTGTGTGTGTGTGTGTGGTGTGTGTGTGTGTGTGTGTGTGTGTGTGTGTGTGTGTGTGTGTGTGTGTGTGTGTGTGTGTGTGTGTGTGGTTGTCATAGTTACAACAGATATAAAAAGTTATAAAAAGTTATAAAAAGCAGGATCATTTCACATCACTGGTTAGAACGATTCATTTTCTTTGCGACAATTTCCGTCATTAACGTCTGTTGTAACTACGACAACCACACAGACTCATCCGGCTACAAGTCACCAATCAACACGGTCACCATTTAAACCGTAACACCTGACATTCCGTTGTTTACCCAGGTAACAGTTATGAATATAGTTCAGCTGTGACTGTTATCATACCGACCTGTAACGTTCAGGTGTCGTGAGCGTGGTGAAGTTTAAATGAATATAATTGATTAATAAACAGTTTGGTGTTGAATGTTAATTGATTAATAAACAGTTTGGTGTTGAATGTTAATTGATTAATAAACAGTTTGGTGTTTAATGTTAATTGATTAATAAACAGTTTGGTGTTTAATGTTAATTGATTAATAAACAGTTTCCTGTTTAATGTTAATTGATTAATAAACAGTTTCCTGTTTAATGTTAATTGATTAATAAACAGTTTCCTGTTTAATGTTAATTGATTAATAAACAGTTTGGTGTTTAATGTTAATTGATTAATAAACAGTTTGGTGTTTAATGTTAATTGATTAATAAACAGTTTCCTGTTTAATGTTAATTGATTAATAAACAGTTTCCTGTTTAATGTTAATTGATTAATAAACAGTTTCCTGTTGAATGTTAATTGATTAATAAACAGTTTGGTGTTTAATGTTAATTGATTAATAAACAGTTTCCTGTTTAATGTTAATTGATTAATAAACAGTTTCCTGTTTAATGTTAATTGATTAATAAACAGTTTCCTGTTGAATGTTAATTGATTAATAAACAGTTTGGTGTTTAATGTTAATTGATTAATAAACAGTTTGGTGTTTAATGTTAATTGATTAATAAACAGTTTGGTGTTTAATGTTAATTGATTAATAAACAGTTTGGTGTTTAATGTTAATTGATTAATAAACAGTTTGGTGTTTAATGTTAATTGATTAATAAACAGTTTGGTGTTTAATGTTAATTGATTAATAAACAGTTTCCTGTTGAATGTTAATTGATTAATAAACAGTTTGGTGTTTAATGTTAATTGATTAATAAACAGTTTCCTGTTTAATGTTGTTCACATAGACACGACCTTGACGCTCGCGCTGCCTCTCCCAGCTGTTACCTGACGGGACCGACTCACCTGTGTTCGGGACCTCTCGTACCAGGCTCGTACAGCTCCCGGACCCTGCGCTTCGCTTCGTCCAGGTCCCGACTGAAAATCGGTTTTACTACTCTAGCTGCTCCCGCTGCGGCTCGAGTCGTCGCTGTCGACGCCATGACTGCTGTCCGTCAGTCTGTGTGCACTTCCGGTTTCCAGTTTATGACGTCAGCGAGCTGTTGCTTTCTGTGCTGCCGCCTAGCGGTGTGGAGGGACACATTCACAAACCACAAACAGCCAGTCAGAAAAGTTCTTAAAGGTGACATATCGGTCTTTCATGATTCATATTCATGTTTTGAGACATTCAGCACAAAAGTATAATAACACATTATACTGTGTTACACTTCAGAGATAGAGAGGCAACAGCAGCACTCCTGGTGTCCCTAAATCACCAGCGCTCATGGAAGGGAATGTTTAAAAAAGGAAAACTTAAGACCAAAATCCGTTGGTATAAATGATCCGGATGCAGGCACATATGGAGAGATCGTCTTCACCTTCTTCAGGGTGAAGTGACACAAAGAGAGTAATCATTGCTGCCTCCAGTCCATACACGTTGGTGTATTTTAAATCTTTCCAGCCCGATGAGTTAAAGACTTTTTATATTTTTAAAACCATCCTGAGACCCTGGATCCAGATCATTTATACCAACGACTTTTGGTCTTACGTTTTCTTCCACTTTGAGATGTTTTCACGTCGTGTCCAATCAACGTACGGAGCCCCTCAAGTCCAAAAAGATTAATTTCTTCTTTTTCTTTTCTTCTTGTAAATGAACTTGACAGCAATATTTGATGTTCATCCTGTGAGCTCAAGATCAGTAACTTATAGACACAATATAAACACCTGGTGCACAAGATGATTATATTTTGGGCACAAGATATTAACAGGTTTCTTCAAGATAATAACTCGTTGTCACACGGTTATAATCTGACCACACAAGATAATCAAGTCTTTGTGCACACGATAACGTGTGACTAACTGCAGTCGCTCCGTTATATTGAACAGAATATTTTATTATAATTAGAAATAAATCAAATACAACACTTCTCAGTGAACTTTAATATCTGATAAGTGAAATAAAATAATCTCAAACTACTTAAATCTCTTAGATCTCTGAAGGATTGTTTGTGAAATAAATCAAAGCCAGCGTGCAGAATCATTCAAAACAAGTTCACACAGCGGACGAGTTTTTGCAGAACTTCTTTTATTGTATAATTTACAAAGTAAATACAGGTCTACATTAAATATGAAAGTATTTTCAAAAGGCAGGTAGATACGTCATTTTTAATCACAATTCATAACGTCGATACAAAATTTGGCTCATTGATGCAAAACAAGTTCACACAGCGGACGAGTTTTTGCAGAACTTCTTTTATTGTATAATTTACAAAGTAAATACAGGCTCTACATTAAATATGAAAGTATTTTCAAAAGGCAGGTAGATACGTCATTTTTAATCACAATTCATAACGTCGATACAAAATTTGGCTCATTGATGCAACACCTGTCGTGTTTCTGTGGCGGGAAAGAAACACCTTGAATGTTCGGGGGAGACGGGGAGAGTTCTTAGTTTGATGTCCGTGATGACGGACGACTCTGCAGAGAACGTTTTCTTAATGGTCACAGATCGACTTTAATTCAGACCGCCGGCGTTTGAAACGTGTTTTATTCCCAATCGACGGTCTGTAACACCGAGCTGTGTGAGCACGCTTTCCACGTTTGAAAAGAATAATTACAGCAAACGATAACGCCAAGAAAGAGTAAACATGACTCAAACATCGTTTAAAAAAAGAACGACAGTCGCTCTGTGGATCTCCGACGTCTCAGGCACGAAACGCAGAAACAGAAATCTGATTAAAAAAAACTGATAACGAAATGAACGCTTTATTTACAACACCTGATAAAAAAAAAAGACAAATATTCCAGTTTTCAGACCGAATGCACTCGCAGAGCTCGACTAAAAAATAAAAAAGTGCAGATTCATATACAACATGTGAGGATCGCTTTAAAGAAACCAGCTGATGGTGGTCTACTCCACGCCGCTGATGGTGGTCTACTCCACGCCGCTGATGGTGGTCTACTCCACGCCGCTGATGGTGGTCTACTCCACGCCGCTGATGGTGGTCTACTCCACGCCGCTGATGGTGGTCTACTCCACGCCGCTGATGGTGGTCTCCACGCCGCTGATGTGGTCTACTCCACGCCGCTGATGGTGGTCTACTCCACGCCGCTGATGGTGGTCTACTCCACGCCGCTGATGGTGGTCTACTCCACGCCGCTGATGGTGGTCTACTCCACGCCGCTGATGGTGGTCTACTCCACGCCGCTCACGGGCAGAAAGACGAAAACTAAGGCACGACGATGACACACACGCACGCACGCACGCACGCACGCACACACACACACACACATTCAGTCACCACGCTGCACACGCCTGCAGGAAAAAAAGAGATGAAGGATATGAAAACAGGAAAAACATCTTCCAGAGAGAAATGTCTGACAGCGTGTCCTAACAGCGTGTCCTAACAGCGTGTCCTAACAGCGTGTCCAAACAGCGTGTCCTAACAGCGTGTCCTAACAGCGTGTCCTAACAGCGTGTCCTAACAGCGTGTCCTAACAGCGTGTCCAAACAGCGCGTGTCCTAACAGCGTGTCCTAACAGCGTGTCCTAACAGCGTGTCCTAACAGCGTGTCCTAACAGCGTGTCCTAACAGCGTGTCCTAACAGCGTGTCCTAACAGCGTGTCCAAACAGCGTGTCCTAACAGCGTGTCCTAACAGCGTGTCCTAACAGCGTGTCCTAACAGCGTGTCCTAACAGCGTGTCCTAACAGCGCTTTGCATCGCCAACACGTGCACTCTGCATCTGTTAAATATTTACTTCTCTGCTCTGTGAGTTCCCACATTATAACATGTGGTGCTTTTATTTTGAAGGTGTATAAACTGAAGTATGGTGCTTTTATTTTGAAGGTGTATAAACTGAAGTATGGTGCTTTTACTTTGAAGGTGGACAAACTGAAGTGAGGTGCTTTTATTTTGAAGGTGGACAAACTGAAGTGTGGTGCTTTTATTTTGAAGGTGGACAAACTGAAGTGTGGTGCTTTTATTTTGAAGGTGGACAAACTGAAGTATGGTGCTTTTATTTTGAAGGTGGACAAACTGAAGTGTGGTGCTTTGTGTTGACGAGCTGTCAATAAACGGATTGCGTTGGGTAGGATAAAGTTTTTCTCCGGTGTTGACACAGGTCAAAGGTCAAAGGTCAAAGGTCAACATGTCAATCATGATGTGGATATTATTAATGCTCCGTAATCTCCACTTAAAACGAGCTAACGAGCTAACGAGCTAACGAGCTAACGAGCTAACGAGCGCTGCAGAGGGAGGAGAGAGAGGGTCAGTGTATCGTAGCTCGCCCTCCTGCCTCCCTCGTCTCCTCGAGCGACAGAGAGGGAAATAGAAATGGCGTGTCGGGGTTAAAAGCGTTGCGCTGTGTCTCTCGTGGACGGTACGGACGCTCCGACAGAATCACACCTGAGGTCGTTGATTCTGTCTGCGTGGTCGTCACCTGTCACCTGCAGCCGGGCGTCAGTGGTCCAGGCTGTTTCCCAGTTTCTGGCCCTCGTGCAGAGCGGTCAACGCCAGCCTCAGGTGCTCCTTCAGACTCTGGATCTCCCGCTCGCTGCGACCTCTGACCCCGCTCAGCTCGTCCTGCATGTCCGAGTATCGCTGACAGGCGAGCCGCTTCTCCTGCAGAGCCAAGACACGCAGACCATCAGCTCCGCCTCCACACAGCCCTACTTCCTGTTTACATCCACTCAGCCCTACTTCCTGTTTACATCCACTCAGCCCTACTTCCTGTTTACATCCACTCAGCCCTACTTCCTGTTTACATCCACTCAGCTCTACTTCCTGTTTACATCCACACAGCCCTACTTCCTGTTTACATCCACTCAGCCCTACTTCCTGTTTACATCCACACAGCTCTACTTCCTGTTTACATCCACACAGCTCTACTTCCTGTTTACATCCACTCAGCTCTGTTTACATCCACTCAGCTCTACTTCCTGTTTACATCCACTCAGCTCTACTTCCTGTTTACATCCACTCAGCTCTACTTCCTGTTTACATCCACACAGCTCTACTTCCTGTTTACATCCACTCAGCTCTGTTTACATCCACTCAGCCCTACTTCCTGTTTACATCCACACAGCCCTACTTCCTGTTTACATCCACTCAGCCCTACTTCCTGTTTACATCCACTCAGCCGTACTTCCTGTTTACATCCACACAGCTCTACTTCCTGTTTACATCCACTCAGCTCTACTTCCTGTTTACATCCACACAGCTCTACTTCCTGTTTACATCCACTCAGCTCTGTTTACATCCACTCAGCTCTACTTCCTGTTTACATCCACTCAGCTCTGTTTACATCCACTCAGCTCTACTTCCTGTTTACATCCACTCAGCTCTACTTCCTGTTTACATCCACTCAGCTCTACTTCCTGTTTACATCCACTCAGCCCTACTTCCTGTTTACATCCACTCAGCCCTACTTCCTGTTTACATCCACACAGCTCTACTTCCTGTTTACATCCACTCAGCTCTGTTTACATCCACTCAGCTCTACTTCCTGTTTACATCCACTCAGCTCTGTTTACATCCACTCAGCTCTACTTCCTGTTTACATCCACTCAGCCCTACTTCCTGTTTACATCCACTCAGCTCTACTTCCTGTTTACATCCACTCAGCTCTACTTCCTGTTTACATCCACTCAGCCCTACTTCCTGTTTACATCCACTCAGCTCTACTTCCTGTTTACATCCACTCAGCCCTACTTCCTGTTTACATCCACACAGCTCTACTTCCTGTTTACATCCACTCAGCTCTACTTCCTGTTTACATCCACTCAGCCCTACTTCCTGTTTACATCCACTCAGCCCTACTTCCTGTTTACATCCACACAGCTCTACTTCCTGTTTACATCCACTCAGCTCTGTTTACATCCACTCAGCTCTACTTCCTGTTTACATCCACTCAGCTCTGTTTACATCCACTCAGCTCTACTTCCTGTTTACATCCACTCAGCCCTACTTCCTGTTTACATCCACTCAGCTCTACTTCCTGTTTACATCCACTCAGCTCTACTTCCTGTTTACATCCACTCAGCCCTAC